CATGGCTGGAGGGGGGAACAGGCAGCTCCATGCTAAGCAATCCCAGAAAAGGAAATTCAGACACGTTCCCCCACTGCAGAGCACTGGACGCTTTCCTAAGTCCTTTTCCCGCATTGCCATTACGGCAACCAGTGCAGTGTGGCATACGGAGAAACTGAGGCAAAGAGACTCAAAGCAAAGGGCTAATTAAAGCAGTAACGGGAGGTGGTTGACAGCAGTCTGAGGAGCATGTGCCTGGAGGGAGAGTGCCCTGGGTTCTGATCCAAACTCATCCATTTACTGGCTGTGAGTGTTTGCTCATCCATACAATGGGAACAACATCAGTTAGCTGGTGGGGCTCCAGTGGGGTAGGGTGGGGTGGAACGGGGCAGTGTAGACATGCTGCCTGGCACAGGGCAAGTGTTCAAGAAGTCACAGTGCTTAGTGACCCCCAAGTTCAGTCCTCTTTCCATCCTGGGTTACTTTCTGCTATAAATAAGAGGAGGGAAGGAAGGGGATGGGATGGGAGGGGAAGGGAGGGAAGGAAGGAAGGAAGGAAGGAAGGAAGGAAGGGAGGGGAGGGGAAAGGAGGGAGGGAAGAAGGGGTGGAGGGGAGAGGAGGAGAGGGGAGGGAAGGAAGGAAGGAAGGGGGGAAGGGAGGGAGAAAGGAGGGGAGGGAAAGGGAGGGAAGGAAGGAAGGAAGGGGAGGGGAAGGGAGGGAGGGAGGGAAGAAGGAGTGGAGGGGAGAAGAGAGAAGGGGAGGGAAGGAAGGAAGGAAGGAAGGAAGGGGAGGGGAGGGGAGGGGAGGGGAGGGAAGGAAGGAAGGAAACTCTTCCCTGTACCTAACACTCACTGTAGCTCAACCAGACAGACACTGCTTCGGCACACTGTAAGTTAGGGCTCACTTTTAAAACATTTTACACATCAATTCCTCAGGAGCCAACACTTTATGGGCTGTATCCCTTCTACTTCATCCACACCACGGCTCTTCACAAATGAACAAACGAGAACAAACCAGCTGTCCCATTCTCCAGCCCGTAAATCGGAGGCCCAGCAGGACAAACAGAAAGGAAGCGCCATGACCCAGCCAGTGGGTGAACTGCATTGGCCTCAGCCCTGCCCTTTGCCCCCAGAGCTGTAAGAGTAAAGGCCCCAGGCTCCTGTCACCCCCTCCACTTCCTCAGCCCCCGCCCCACCCCAGCCCCACACTGAGGGTTTCAAAAGTGGAGATCCAATCAGCTTCAGGCTAGGCGGGCAGGCTGGCTGGGTGGTGGAGGGGGGACGGTTTCCGGGGCCTGTGGTTACTACACTCCACTTCCTTGTGATGACATAAGCCCTATTTCTGCAGCAGGAGGCCACTGCTAAGATTCTCAGGTCTCCAGGCACAGGAGGTCCCGTGTGGGCCTGGATTTCCCAGATGGCAGCATGGGCCACGGTTGGCATTGATTGGCTCTGGCTGCCCTTGGGCTACCAGAGCAGAGGTGGGACTCTGAAGGCACCCATATACTACCCGCATGCAGTTTTCTCTGTCTTCTCTGGTCTCTTTCTCCCAAGACACCAGTTCTTGGGATTCAAAATGCAGACAGACATTGACCAGGATTTCAGAGTAGCTGGAAGCTCCAGAAATAACTACATCCAGAGAACCCAAAGGAGGGAGTGTGGGAATATGATCTAACACTGTCCCCTAGGTCCCTGGCTGGTGCCCCTCCATCCTCTCCCAGCCCCTGCTCAACTCTGGAGTGTCCACGGATGGATGTGGGACCTGTGGAGGGACCTCCCCGCCCCAGCCGAAGAAAGGAAAGAAGCTTAAGGAAACCAGGCAAAGATAATAGGGGTGTGGGGGTGTGAGGACCTATGGAAGGCTCCTCTCATGGTGGGGACTCAGAACTGGGGGCTTGAAAGGGTCTTAAAGAAATGTACCATGTGTCTTGGCTTCCTTCCCCAATTTCAACTTTGCCAACTTGCCTTTCTTAACAGCCACCCCTTCCCCTTCTCACCCCATTAGTTGGGCCTGTGTTGCAGCCTGGGACCCGGCACAACTTAGCCTCTAAAGCTCCTTCCCCCTACCCCCCACCCATCCCCAGGTAGTGAGAGGCTGGTTCCAGGCCAACCTTGGGCCCAGGGAGCTGAGTCCCTATCTACAGGGGATTAATGGATAAAGGGATCACAGGGCAGGCTGGAGAGGGGCTGGCCTGGGAATTTCCGTGCAAAGACAACTAGCTGGGGTTTAGGGCCAGATGGGCCAAACTTCAGGGAAGCCTGGGGTAGGGCTTTTAGGGTCTGCTCACTCCGAGATCTTCTCTCTTTATCCCATAGCCCCAGGTTCTGAAAGTTTCGTCCCCTGGCTCTCCCCCAGCCCCAGCCTGCCCTGTGGAGATTTGCAGACAGACAGCTTTGATCCTCTTCCCAAGGAGATTATAGGGCCAAGAGCCCTGGGTTGGCACTTCTCACCTAGTCTAGCAGTCCCCACTAGGACGTCCTCCCTTACACAGGCATGCATGTGCACGCGCGTGCACACACACGCACATACACACACCCCAAACAAAGTCCGTCTCATTTCTGGCCTTCCTTTCCCAAGAGTTGGACCCAGGGTTTGCCATGTTATTCTCATGGAAGCTCAGAGAACACTTCAGTTAGATATAAGAAAGGACTTCCAGGAAATCAGAAAGCTGAGCCTGACACCGGGTTGGGTTCTTGGCCATTCCAAAGCCTGGGCCTTTCCCAGCAATGCTCTACTCCAATACCCCACTCCAGCCCTCCACCTGGTCCTTGAGGTGGGACAAGTGACTTCCAGAGGTGGGGACAGGGGGTCAATGGGAATCCAAAAGCATGGGTACTCCCCTACAGTCCTCTGTAGCACCATCTGCTCCCTGTCCCAGCCCCAGCCCTAGTCTTGTCCTGTCCTCAGCTCTTTGATTAGAAACTGGGCTCTGTCCAGGCATTGTCTGTCTTCCACGGCTGGCTGCCCATTGAGGTCTGGCGTGTGCCAGGCTAGGCGCTCAGGCTGGAGTGGGAAGGGACAAGTGGGCTGGGCCCTCACCTTCCAGAAGCCCCCTCAAGTCTGGCTCTTTTGATGTTCAAATCTCCCCACCCCTCCATCCAAGATCAGCAATGGGAGGCAAGGAGTGGGGGCATCCGGACCCTGCTAGAGCAATCTGAGTGGGAAGCAGAAATGATACCCACTGCCCTCAAAGAACTGGGTGCAGTGGGCAGGCACAATCCCTTCCCTGGAAAGGGTCTCAGAAACCTTCTGTTGGTGGTGCTGGGAAGGCCACACCAGCTTCTCCTCACCGCTCTGCACAGAGTGCCAATTCCAAGGGGCTTTCCCACACTTTACCATGCCCCCGTCTAGCCTGGGGGGCGCTGACCGTGGTGGTAGTAGAGGGGGCTTTGTTTGGCTCGCTCCTATAAGACGGAGGCTAAAGGAAAGCCCCATGGGAGGAACAAGCACCCTAAGTCCCTTCCTTCTCAGCCCTGGTTCACAGTCAGTGGGGCCAGGGCTTCATTTCCCTTTTATGATGCACTTGGACTCTCCCAGTCTGCTGCAGATGTCATATTTACATTTCTCACTCCCCCCACCCCCCACCACTCGTACTTCCCTCCCTCGACCTCCACAGGATCCTGCTGCAATGTCAGTCTAAGCTGCAGCCTGGCCCCGCCCCCACCAGCCCACCAGGCACCTGCAGGGCTCCTCTTTGTCTCTCAGGCTGCTCAGGGCCATCAAGCTGTGTTCAAGTGTTGCTGAGGCTGCCTGATGCATGAGTGGGAGGCACCTCAGTCTCCCTTCCTTGGCCCCTGAGCTGCGATCAGCCATCCTCTCCTCCTCTCTGAGCTCCAGAGGACGGGCCAGATGCCTGGGGGTGGGGGGGGGGATCTGCTCTAGGGCAGGAGGGGAAAGCTCTGCCATAGTCATCTCTGGCCCCGTCTAGAGTGACTTCCATGGACTCTTGGTATCTGGGTCACCTACAACCCAGGGAATCCAGAGACTGGTGTCAGAGACCCACCCTAACCCTGGACCCAATCCCTCCACCCCCAACATATAGGCCTGGGGCAGAGATGGTTGTATTTCTCCATCCTTCCTGCCTTGGAGACCAGTCTCAGATTGGCACTCTCCCAGCAACAGACCTCTCTGAAAGAGAAAACCCAAAACAAAACCAAGGAGAGGTGATGTGGTATAAGCGTCTCCACCCAACACAAAGGACATGTATGGATCGACTTTGCACGATTTCCTGCTTCACACCTCTGTGTGCCCCTCCCAATAGAAGCCTCCCAGCCATGTCCTCTCCCCACCTCAATTCTGTCAGGATGTCACTGCAAGTCCCAGATAAGTCCATGCACCACCCTACCTCCATTTTATCTGGGAGCCCGAAGATGGGGTATCAGCGTCACACCCTCCTGCCCTCTCAGAGGTAGAACCTCAGATACACGGCTTTCTCCCTGCCCTAGCTCCATGTCCTCTTGGGACAGGGCCAGTACTCTCTCCAAAAGCCCTTGACTCCCCATGAAAGGCCAAGGCACCACCCCAGTCCTTCCATTCCTCCCTGCTCTCAGTCGATCTTTGTCTGCAGAACCAGTTACCAGGGCGGGTGTGCTGCCTTCCTAGCTGGACCAAGAGCACAGAACTATAGGACTGGGGTGGATGAAGGGAAAATTCCCCCCCCTCCAATATCCCATATGAGACAGCAGCCCCAAGGGGAGGCGAAGAGGAAACACACAGACGCTCCGGCCTGGGCCAGGGCTGGGTGTGAAATACCGGATTTCCTTGTTTATTCGATTTTCTGATCATTAAGGGCTCCCAAGAGGGGCCCGAAATTACCACCCAAACAAAGCCACCTTCCAGCAGCCCGCGGGCCGCCGATCTCCTGCGGCAGCCCGTCCAGCGCACGGTGCCCTCCTGCCCGGCCCATGCCGGCCCCTCCTCCCGGGGTGCGGGCTCCAGAGTGGCCCCCCGGCCCCACGCCCACGCGAGACAAAGCCGGAGCCCCTTCGCGCACACCCCCCGCCCCGCCACCGGTCCCTACCTGACGGCCACCTTGACGCAGCAGTCCCCCTGGCCGGCCATGGTCCTCCGGCTCTAGGGTCTGGGCGTGGATCAGGGACGGGGGTCTGGGGGCCGATGCCCCAGGCAGCGGCAGCGGCTGCGGCTGCGGGAGGCGGGGGCGCGGGCACTGCTGGCGAAGTCTGCCGCGGCGGCTGGAGGTGACATGCTAGCGGGCGGCAAGCCGAGGGGCTCACCCGCGGCCGGGGGAGGCCTCACGGGGCTTGGCCCGTGCGCCTCCTCGCGCCATAGGGCGGCGGCGCGCAGCTAGCTGACAGCCCGCGGCGCGACCCACCGCTCCCCACGGCGCGGCACACGCGCGCACACACCTCCCACCCTCGCAGCCACCTCCCGCCGCAGCGCGAACAAAGGGGGCGGGGGCCGGCCCGGCTCAGGACCCGCCCCCCAGCCCCGCCGGGCCCGCGCCGGGCCCCGCCCCGCTCCGCAATCACCAATCGAAAGCTCGAGGCAGCAGTAGGGGCGGGACTTGAGCCTTTAAAGGGACGTCTTGGCTCGCGTCCACCCGCTCGCCGGGGGGCAGGCCGGATTGGAGGTTCGGGGAGGAGGAGGGCTCCGAAGCTGACCACGCTGGAGCCTCGGCCCCCCGGAGTTGCAGAATCTCAGCCTCGATGCGACTTCCGTTTCATAACTGAGGCCACTGGGACGCAGAGAGGGGAACTACCCAAGGTCACACAGATTTGGTGGCTAAGAAAGGGTAAGAACCCAGGTCTCCCCAGCGGAGTGCTTCGCTTCAAACCATCGCACGGCGATTAGCGGTTTATATTTTGAAAGCGCCCTGAAAGCTTCTCTTCTAATTTATAATAGTGAATTTGTCAACTTTTATTGAAGGAGATTCTTGCTGGTGACTAAAATTCCCTCCACCTCCACGCTACAGCATTTTTTCCTTTTTAAAAAAATTTTATTTATTTATTTGATGGAGAGATAAGAGAGCACAAGTAGGCAGAGCAGCAGGCAGAGAGAGAGGGAGAAGCAGACTCCCCGCCATGCAGGGAGCCCGATGGGGGGCTCGATCACAGGACCCTGGGATCATGACCCAAGCCAAAGGCAGCCACTTAACTGAGCCACCCAGGCACCCCCCACCCTACAGCACTTTAAAGTTCATTTTTTGGTTGATTCCCGGCTGGGCTCCTCGACCAGATGGGCCCCTCCCTCTGCTCCACCAGGCGGTTCCACTGACCTTTTATGACCCACAAGATGACCCTTCTGAGCCTAGCTTGCAGTCTGTCTTGGCTGTGGGGGCAGAGGGCCAGCGTTGAAGGCCTGAAATGCTCTGGGAGATAAGGGAACAAAGGAGGCACTCAACTGCAGGCACCTGGGTAGAGGCTGCAGGGGCGAGGTGGGTGGGGAAGGCGATGAAGCAGTGCAGCCGCCTTTACAGGGATATAAAGGACAAGGGGGGCCCTGGAGCCTTTAAGCACAGGGCAGACATGGAGAAGAACAGTGCTCTGAGAAGTCACAATTCCCTTTCCACTCCACCTACCCTCCCTCTGAGCCCAGACACCTTCTCCCTGCCCCCCCTCCCCAACTCCCAACACTGGGGCCATTCACGGGGCCCTCACCAGCTGCCCTCCCTTCCCGCACTTCAACCAGCTCCCTTCACTGGAAAGCGCCCAAGGGGAGGACCCAGCTGCAGCTCCAGATGTGGATGATGCTCTCTGGGGGAGAGGGGGAAGGCGAGCCAGACTGCAAGCCTCTTGCATCACCCTCTAGTGATGACGAAACTATGTCAGAGATTTTGGCAAGGGTGTGGGTTAGGGTCCGAGGATGGATCTGTTGGTGCCATTCTCCTTTCCCTCCCCTACTCACCCGCACAGATAACTGCTCCATCCAGTAGTCCAGATCACTGTTAAAGTCAAACCAAAACAATGATAACTTCAAGGGCAAATTTCAAGGGCAAATCACACCCCTCCCCCAACCTGATGGAAAACAGGGCACCACCAGCAGTGCCGCAAGGGTGGAGGAGAGGGAGGAGGCGTTTGGTGGAATCCTGCATCTTTTATTAGTATTTGCACCTAGAGGAAGCTCTCTCTGGGGCCAGTAGTTCACCCTTCCCAGAGCAGGAGGCCCGCAGAGTGTTTAGTCCGATCCTGGACAGTCTCTCCCCATCTTCCCACCAAAATAAGAGGTGGGAGGTAGCTAACATTTATGGACCATCTATGAGAACCAGTTACTTTCTATGCATATTCTACTTTCATTCTCCTAACCTATGAGCTGGGCTTTATTAATATTTTTCAATTTTGCCGAAGGGGAGAATGAGTTTCACCCAACATAAAAGCAACAGACCCAGGATTTGAACCCCTGTGTCTTATTCCAGACTTCCCAGATCACCTCCAGGCAACTGCCCAGAGGGAAGGAAGCTGGGTTGACCCAGGCTTTCACTCCAGGTTTAGCCCTCCTGGATGATAGTGCTGCATTTTGCAAAGCTGCTCTCCAGCCCACTAGACCCTGGATGACTGACTCTGGGGCTCATCTCTGGTTTCCTGCCTCTAGGAGGTCCCCTCTGACTTCCGAGAGTAGATGACCCTTCTGACTCAGGGCTCCACTGCTGGGAAATGGCGCCAGAGTTGCTGCACCAACTACCCCTCCCCCACGCCCATCCCTCCAGGCTGAAGGATGTCAGGTCTGAAGGAACAGGGAGGCACATCGGCCTGGAAACTCAGGCCACCTCAGCAGCTCCTTCCTGGACCACCGGGGAGCAGAGGGCATCTAGATGACCAGACCCGGACTCCTGGGCACTGCTGCCCAGAGGTGAGGAGGGAAACTGGGCACAGAGGTCAGACGGGGATCCCAGTGGCAGGAAACGGCTTAAACTGTAACTTGGGGAGATTTAGATTAGATGGGTGACGGGAGGCCGGGGACAATCCCTGCCCTCCTCAGTCTCTCTGCAGTTTTAGCTCAGCCTGTGCTTCCTCTCTCTGGTTGGCTCCCACCCCCACCCTTTCCCACCGCTTCTCCCTCCTCCCAGCTGCTCTCCTTTCCTTCCCTAACCCTGAAGTTTCTCAAAGAGCTCCCTATATGCATATCTCCCCCAACCCCCACCCCTTTCCTCTCTGCCTGACAGAAACAAGCACACACACATACACACTATCCCAGGTTTGGCCCCGAATCCCCTATTTGGACGGGGTTTGAGCCCCAGTTCTCTCCCTGAGCTGAGGCCTTTCCCCACGGGGCGTCTAGGAGCTTCCATCATTTCTCTTGACAGGAGCTGTGGGCGTCTGGGCAGATGGGAACGTGGGGGAGCTGAGGAGGACCCTCTCCGAGGCAGGAAGCTCCCACTCTTGTAGTTAAAATACTCGAGCAGCAACTTGAGGGAGCCATCTGGCCCAGATCGCTCAGGCACGGCCTAGCTCTCAGCAGCAACCCTACAGCAACAAATCATTATACCTAAGAGATAACCTTAGCTCTAGAAATGTCTCCAGAGGTAGCCTGAACTTGAGTCCTGTTCCCTTTTATCTTCTTTAAGATTAGCACTAGGCATTGGCATTTGCAGAAACCGAGCATTGTCCTAAAGGACTGGGGTGGAGAATCCAGAGTTCTGGACCTCCAGGCCTAACTGCCAGCCCCACCCCAGCAGCGGTCCTTGGTTCCATGGGAGAAGCGGCATGAGCCCATCCTGCCAGTCCAGCCACACTGACCACTGCGACCTGGATGGAAAGCCCAGCTCCACCTGCCAACCGGAGCTCAGAACCCCAGAACGGGTCTACTGGGGTGCGGATTCGGAGGTCTTTGCTCAGGCGCAGGCTCAGCCTGACTTCCTCTGTTATAGATGGAGACAGACCTAGCCTTAGAGGAAACCAGAATTTGTTATAAATAGAAGGGAGAGAGAGAGAGAACTGCTGTGGATTAGAAACACCCTATCAGGGGTGCGTGGGTGGTTCAGTGGGTTAAAGCCTCTGCCTTTGGCTAGGGTCATGATCCCAGGGTCCTGGGATCGAAACCCGCATCGGGCTTTCTGCTCAGCGGGAAGCCTGCTTCCCTTTCTCTCTCTCTGCCTGCCTCTCTGCCTACTTCGATCTCTGTCTGTCAAATAAATAAAATCTTAAAAAAAAAAAAAAGAAAGAAAAGAAACACCCTATCAGTCCTAAAACCCCCAACTATTTTTGGTTTCAAATGTTAATGACAGTTTAATTAATACCCCATATAACCTCAGACGTCACTCTTCATCCACTTTCAACTCTGCCATGCTGCCCATGAAGGCCAAAGGCAGGAGGAGCCAGCAGGTGGGGGCAAATTCTCAATGTCCCAGAACCCTCGAGTTGAAAAGAACCCTAAGATCATCTAGTTTCACAGCTTTGTTTTCAAGTGAAGAAACCGAGGCCTGGACAGGTAGAGACTGGTCCGCAGTTGTGCAATAAGCCAGTGAGTGGGGACCAAGGGACTAAAAGCATGGTTCGCATGGTCCCAGAGCAGGCAGCACCCACAACAGCGGGGAAGGACCCAGAGGCTAAACACCCAGGACTGGGCTGCATGGGAGTTTACAGTCTGGATAAAAGCTAAGACTGTACAAAATAATAGACAACTTGGAAGCCCAGGGGTGGTGCTCAGAGTTGGGAGGTCCGGGTTCAGATGCCGGCTCCGCCACTCACAAGGTATGTAAACTTTGGCAAGTTATGGAGCTACTGCAAACATCCATTCCCTTGCCTCAAAATGAGGGTAATTGCCCTCACTTCATGGCAGGACTGTGATGAGGTTGAGATAAGGCAACCTGGATTGAGCACCCAATACTATGCTCAGCACAAAACAGATAGTAATTTCCTTCTCGTTGCCCGTGGATTCTCGGCCCCTTCTTCAGTGGGTCTCTGTCCTCCACATGGACATAAAAAAAGACAGGGAACCTCCAAGATGAGTGGGGATGAGGCTGGTGTGGACAGGGTGATGAGGTTTGGCTGGCCCAAGGAAGTGGTGGTCTAGGGAAGTGGGAGAGTTACTCAGCCTCCCCTGGCCCCTGGAGATGGGGGCTGGAAGAGGGGGCAGGGTAAGTGTTTGCAGAACGCAGGAAGGAGCCTAGCATGTGGATGCCTTCTGTACACAAACAGTCCTGGTCTCAGCATCGCTGGGGGTTATCTGGAGGGCATCTCAGCTTCATTTCATAGCCCCACGTGCTATGCTGTGCCAAGGAGGTTGCATAAGCTTTCTCATTTAATGCTCCCAACAATCTCCAAGGTAAATACGGTTATTGTCCCCATTTTGCAGAAGAGGAAATGGGCTCAGAGGTCACTTGGCTAGCGTGGTCATCATTAGTGCCGTGCACCAAATATTTCCGGCCCTCTGCCTTCTGTCACAA